AAGCAACAAAGATATTCTCAAAAATGGAACTGGCTTGAGTGCACTCATCCCAGTACAGTTGTCCCTACTGTGTTCAAAACGGTCATCTAGTCTAGTGGGAACGGTTCCTCAGGAATGCGTACCCAGAATTGTGGATGGCTTCAGACAAACCCCCTCACCTGACTGAGACGTTCGGAACATCATTCTGATTAAATTCACGGCGCACTGATTGATACTTATCAGGTCGATAACCAGTTGCGCAAGCTGACTCTTCATAAGCAGTAGTGTGGTCTGACATTGTTGACGTGTACATTCTTCGTCAGGTTTCTTCAAAAAGCTTCCGACATTACCTAAGGCCAGTTACTGGTGCGTTCCAGAAAGACTTCCGCTATTGTATGCACGATCATCAGAGCCACATTTCATATTCTACTTCATGGAACTAGTACACTATTAATTTTGATGCAACACACTCACTGTGTAATATCACGAAACTATTCGTGTGGTCCAGTAAACTGTGGAATTAATTTTTGGGGCAGCTTCATTTCGGCCAAGATTTCTTCAACTGTGTTTGGGCTGGTGTCACACGTCCTCCTGTGGCCACAGAGGCACAGCTGTGCTAGCCGACTCTGTTGTGCTATAAATCCGTTGTCAGCGGAATCTCAAATAGCATTGATACTTTCAAACCAATCGCACAAGCCTAAACGTGCACCCGGTACTTGAAACGACCCCCAAATACAACAAAATTAAGGGACCAACCAATACCTTTGGCAGCTTGTCGACTGTCGTAAGAGCGTGATTGCGCACGCTACAAAATTGTCTAGAGAAGTACGCAATGAATTCCACAAATGTTCTTCCTTGTACACGAATTTCGTTTTATCAGGAAGTTCAACTGAATCCAGCTGAATATCTACTAAATGATGGTCCAATTCAAAAGAAAGATTTAGCTGGATTCAGTTGATTCTCCTGTCAAAACGAAATCCGTTTGCAGATGAGAGGACTTGTCGAAGTCTTTTCAATTTGGGTTCAAGCGAAATATAAGGTTGAGGGGAAATCGTGGACTGCGCCTATCCCATGAGCCCCAAGAAGGACGAAACCAGTCGTGGGCTGGGGAGAGTTTTTATCAACCATATGAGTAGTGCCCTACGTTTACGTAATGAATTGTCTGCCCGTTCATAATTACTAGAATGCTCATCTTACTACCGACGAATTGAATATGATGAAACGTTGCTTCCTCCTGGGGTGTGTATCAACCAAAAATGACCCACCAACTGGTACCTTGGTACCTTGGGGAGATATGGCCCAAGTGGTTAGAGCGCAATTTACTGACCGGAAGTTCCGTCGTTCGAATCCGACCTCCGCCACTCGACTTCCCCTATCTAGGCTTGGTCTGGGCTTGGGCAACCTGGTAGTATCCCAGCACTCGTGCAACCTTCGGGTGGTATGGCAGTTAGGCACGGAAAGGGTGCTACAGCAACCTTGGTTTCAGCCAACGAGCGTGTCTGGATTTCAAAAGAAGCTCCAGGAGGCCAAAATGGTTTGTCTCTTCTGAAAGGTAGTCACCATGAAGATAGCTTTTTTTACAGAATTACAACTGATTGATACGTCATTGATACGATCATAGAAGACTCACTTATATTTTACAGTTTCAAACAAAAATGAATAGGAAACAAGTAATATCATTAACCGGCAGATCTGCATGTCACATTTGTTTGTGGCATGTTAAAAAAAGTAGCTGATATATTCCAGAGGAAATCGAATGGTGTTTGTCTGATACATTACTTAACTGAACGCAGAAAGCTCGTAGTCGGGAAAATCCTACCGATAAAAAAAGAACGTACTGCTTTTGACCTATACTCTCATTTGCACTAGTATTTGGTTTTGAAAAGTAATTCAACTAATTCCATCCGAGTCTCTCGTTTGTGATGATCCACTGAGTTTGGATTTGTAGGGGGATTGGACCACACCATCTGTCTACCAGCTCATCCCAGGGTTTTGCAATCCAATCCTACACGCTTTACACACTAGTTCCACTTTATCCTCCAGCGTTATTATCGACCGACGGCAGCAGATGAAATGTCAGATTGTTTGCACTCTGTCTTATTTGTGTTAAGCTCAACATTAGGATTCGGTCTCTCCATAGTGGATCAGCCTGCAATAGCTCGACCGTCATGCACATAAAATGACTCAGAGTTATTGAAGGACTGACCTTTGGTTAACATCCTAGGCGTATGTTTTGGCTCGACCCTAACCAGGGGCGGAAGATTCATTCCGCACTTCTGCTGGTATCTGTGTAACAACGAAGACCCAACTGGGTATCCGCACTTCATCAACAACCATTATTCCATTTCAGTTTTTTGTGATGCTGTCGCGATTTTTTTTAAAAGAAGCCCGCATTGACCATGTTTCAGTTCGTGTACCTCTCCTGTTTAAGTGCGGTTTTGGCCCGTTGCAAAGTAGATCACCTATGGTTGAAGTTAAACTCATCGTTGCCGTTTATCTTTGAGTCTGTCAGCAGCATACAATGCTAGAATTTCTATTAAGTAGGGTCTCAAATTGATGGCCTCTAGGACTATCGCGCATTAGTGAGACAGGTGAGGATCAGGAGGTCTTTGTTCTTCCACAAGTCTTTTACTTGAACATCTATTGTCAATAGCATGGGTTGTGCTTTCTCGGAAGCTCAGCTGCAGCCTACGATGGGTTGGTTGCCCAGGAGGAAAGATGGAATACACTCCATTTGCTGTATTACGTAACCGAATCGTGGATAGGTTTTTTGGTATGTTTATTTCATTATGAAAGCTGGGGAGCTTTGTTCGTTGTGTTCTGTAGCAAACTTTGTTCATCTTGTACTGAAAGAGATATTGCAGGGGTTGGTATTTTCAAAAGCAGTCCATTCTTTTAGTCCATCGATATTTTTCGGATTCTCTGCCGGTGACATTTATTATTTCTTCACGGGAGGTTAATGTTCGATTCCACAAAGACAGATAGCGTAGATAGATGGCCTCATCTAAGTGTACCGATTAGTGGGCCTTTTGATCTTCGAGTGACTAAAAAGGCACAGTCATATGTGAGATATGCTTTGTAGACTGGCTGGAAGGCCGTTAACTGCGAAGCACAAACGTAAGTGCCGTCAAGTGCACCGAGTCCAGCGTCATTGTTCGAGGAGTCTGTCCGTCTGCACAAATAGCTCAGGTTTGGATGAAACAAAACAGGCGCACATAACCGGTTATCGTGAGGTCAAAGTATGTGGACAGCTAGTGGGTCGAATGTCATCAAAACCTGAGTCTTCTAGTCCCTATTTGTTGCGGGTTTTCAGGAATGATTTTCATATGATTTTAGTCACTCTTTCAGTTTGCAAAAGCAGCCAAAATTATCGATTAGATCGAAAGCGTCTCTAGCGTTGTCTTGTGATACTTGTTCATCACAGTGATGAGCGGGAATCCACTGGTTTGGATAAAATTACAGTGAATAATTCCAGCACATCGACCTACCGTGGCATTTCGCAGTAGAATGCCTATGGTTCACCTGCTAGCGGCGAGCTTGATCCGCCTCCAATAAATGGCACCGTAGAATGTGCATACCTGCTAGAAGAGCACCAGAGTAAGAAGCAGATTTTCTTCTCACGGACCATCAACTGTAAGATTCATGAATGAAGACCTAAATGGAATCGTTCAACACGAGGCTACTTTCCCAAGTAGAATTGCGCCTCGACTCAGTCAACTCTTCATGATGTCGCTTCAGAAAGCGACGCTTTCTTTGGTTTCCTTTGACATAGGAATTAGAGCCCTACCTGATCGAATGTGAACAGCGTTCAGGCTTTTCACAGAAGCACGATCGATGTTGATGGGTGTTCACTAACGCCTATCAGACAGCCTGGATCAATGTCAGAAAGTCCCCTTTAAATAGCGCTCTCACTCACTCGCTTGTTCGGAATACAGCTGTTGTGTTCCCTTCTGTGAGTCTTTTCTCTCCGACACTAGGCACTGGTTCGGGTCGGCAGCAGATACCAGAGATTGACGAACCAGCAGATATAACAGCTTGTCTTCCGAATGTTCTTATTTAGCATGAGTCAAAGGCAAGTTTCTTCCAACTGTGCATCAGATAAACTGATGAGAAGAAGGCTTACTTTTTTGTTGCTTATTCTACACTATGGGAGAATACCGCCTTATTTCGTTCCCAATGCAATCTCCAGCTAGTATTCGCCTCATTTGTGCAGAAAAATGCTGAAAAAGGTTATCTCAAATTACGCGTCTTCTAACATAGAAAGTCTTCAATAAACGGTGCAACTGTCGACCAGTCCTGAAAGAGAGCCCACTGTATGCGCAATACCGTTTCTCCCTAATACGTTCATATCTCCAGAATAATTTGGCGTTTCCACTCTGAAGAAACCGCTGTATCGGGACAACCGACAAGAAAATTTAGTGAGTATCCACTACTCCTGTAAGTGACACGTCAGAACTGATAGTATTCAGTGAACCCCGGCTCCTTCCTTCTTCGTNCTCTTTTCTTCTTTGTCTCTCTGCATATATATATATATATATATATATATATATATGCGACATCCGCCAAAAAAGGTTAAAATTTGACATCATCCAATCTCAACCCTCGTCCCCACCCTCACCACCACTGAACGCCACTATACACTCAACTAAACATTTGCCGCGGTGATGAAATCATCAAGAGAAACAATTTGAACTTTTTCCACTCTTAATCCCAAAGCTGCGACCAGTAAAATTGTACAAATGAAATTCTGTATTATGCTGAGTGTCAGAGTTTGACTGTCATTCATTCGGTGCCGCGGAGAACATGTTCAGAGCTTGAAATCATCAGCCAAGTTTAAATGAATGTGGAAAAATGAGTGCATATCAAAACCAAAAGTGCGCGGTTCTGCAATTAACTGTTCTGTTTTGGTCATTCTAGCAGTTTGTACAGAAGAATTATCACATGGGAAGCTTCTGTGGGCAAAAAAAGGATAATTTGAGATTTGTTTCCACATTACACAACGAATTACCCGTTTCCATATTTCATGGTTGAGTGAAGCTGATTGGTAGAGGGGTGTGGATATCTTGGTGTTGACACCTGCCTACTATATGCTGGTTCTCTGTGTGGCCCATATGGCTCTGAAAAGTGGGATTCTCTAGACTGATGACCTGGGGAAGAAAGAATAGGAGAACAGGAAGAACCGGCGTCAGATGATGCGGAGTGTTCTACTGATCCTAGTTCTATTGAATCGTCTGTCGTGTGAACAGGCTGCTCAGGATATCTAGCATCGTAACCACGTAAGTGTGGATGTGTAGGCGTTAGAGAGTGACCGGAATTTGGTGTATTTTTATCCATAAGCAGCATGGAACTGGGACAAGGCAGAGGTAATCTTGATGTCACCTGGGCTCGTGGGTGCGCCTTATCTGAGTTCCTGATGATGGAGAGATCACCAGCAGGTTGCTCTGGAGGCTTGTGGCCAAATATATGAGTTTCGCCACAGGGAGTGGGGGATGCGTTCACGTAATCTGAACTCATATAGGCCAAAGTCATTGGAAAGCAGTGATCGGTTGTACTCAAATTTGTAGGATTATTATAACTCATGTTTGCCGCATATCCCAGTGTCAACCATGGATCGGAAGATGCGCCGAAATCTGTCGATTCATCCTGTGCCACGAAGGGAAATACACTTTTTCTATCCATCCATCCTGAGGCTAGTTTTAACTTCGTGTATGGCATATACATTTCACGGTCCGTACAGTGAAACTGAGGGATGTTTGCTGCTAATCGCTGTGTATCTACTGCGGGAAAGCCAAATGAGTCACATGAATGGCAGGAGCTACGCGGAACTCCTTTCATATCAACTTCGGACACCACATTCGCCGTAAGTTTTGTCACTGTGGCGTTCGACTCGTGTTTTTTCGTTCGTGAAGTAAAACGTCTTTCACGTTTGGCTGGAGGGGGTGAAGAATAATCGTTGTGTTCCAAATTGGTGTAGAGCTGAAAAAGATGACGGTGGTCTTGCTGATCTTCCGTTGATTCACTAGTCAGCTTCTGAGTGTTCTTCATTGCAGCCACAGGATTCATATTCGTATTGTATTGTTCCAAAATCAATAGGCTGTCACGGTTTTCTGGGCGCCTGGAAGAGATGTAAATATACGTTCGGGTTGGTTAAAAAATAAATGAAATCGCTGTGATGTTGGATGAAGTGCATACTAGAGGCTGACTACACCGATCTGACGGAATGAAAAGTACCAATGATTTTGGCTAGTAATCCCTGATGGAAATTGACCGGAACCTTTCGGCCTATGTGCTTAGGCTATACATTAGCTCTGTCGTGTCAAAAAACGTCCCCCAGAGCCACCGAAAATGGTTCTATTCTAAACGTTCCGCGTATGTGAAGGCCAAAACAAGCTGAAGAAAAGTGCAGTTCAGTATCCATTTGCAAACTGAGATAATATTCCAATAGCACCGGGGCGCAAGTCTGGATTTCATGACTCTTAGTGATTTGTTCAACCAAAAAAAATTAAATATAATAGTGCAGAAAAGCATTTCGTAAAACTTATTCCCTTCTTTCTGCATACGAGTCGTCATAATCATCCACGATACATCTGAGGATGTATGCTGCAGTTTGATTATTTGGATGCTGTCGAAGTCGAGTGGACAAAGTGGAGAGAAAACGGTTTGGGAAACCAACGATAGAACAGGTTGTTGGCCGCAGTATTCGGCAGCAGTGGAAATTCCGGTAGTTGGCCACAAGCTTTTTTCTCCCATCGTTTCAACCGCTGTTGATCCAGCGCTTCAATTAAGTAGTCTGTTTTTGAAACAACACGAATTCTGCCAGCAGATTCTCCCAGAATCACATAGCAACAAATGCTGTATGGAACTTTCTTCTTTGTAAATAAAAGAGAAAGCTTTTGATCCAAGACCCGTTTGTTCCAACTTCATGCCATTTTATTATGCGATAACCCGAACATAATTTTCCAAAAAGGTTCTATCAGTCATCAACAATTCTTTGTGATATTCTGTTCACTCCAGTTTTGGCCTCATAAAACTCATGTTTTGCCTCTTCTTGAATTTGGAAAAAATGTGGTGAATTGTGCGCACTATCAAGATGTCGACTTTGCCACAAAATTCCAAGTAAGGTGAGCCAATACTGCTCCAGTAAAACCTATGGTTTGTGAGGGCGCCAGCCAACTAGCCACAATGACTTGCAAATTTCTGTACGTACCAAGTCACAGGCCCAGACTCGATCCGCTATTTCTTGACCAGCACTGTTACAGTTTATTTCCAGACAAAGGCTCACAACATGAGCGCGAAATTCCTTCGTTAGTCGTTGCGCTTCCGATTTGAAAAAGCATACCGAGATAGTAGCAGTCCTTCGAACTGAATGCGGTCGATTCTGTCAACAAGATTCTTTTAACAATGAGTCAAAAGTAACGCGCGGGAAGTGTCAGATGAAACGTATCATGTTCACACAGCTTTCGGTTGAGATCAATTCAGCCATTGTTCTGACACTGGAATTGACTCAAAGAATGCAAAGCGTAATGCCCAGGATGAGATCCGGAGCTTTTCCGAAAACAAGTGCGAAAGCTTGTGGCCAACGCGTGTGCAGAGGAATGAGAAAAACCATCTGACAAAGTTGCATCAATCGCCCCGCTTCTCGTTTGCAAAATTTCAAGGGCTCAACAGCGTTTTCCTCTTCTGAATACCCCTTACTTGAAGGTAACTTGCGGGGGAGAAGCAGTTTAGTAAAGATGCTTACGTGCTTAGTGGCCATACAAAAACTGGTCCACAACTGCCTGTTTCAGGAATCAAATTTCAGTTAATCGGTTCGTTGTTGGCGTCGTTAGGGAAAAACAAGGGAAATTCAACCGTGCTCCGTCTCATTTTCGCACATATGCAGCTCATGAATGTGGGATTCTCATAACCAGTTACGTGGCGTGACGTTTTTGAATGTTTTAAGGTTCGTGTACCTTTGCTTCAAATGTCGAACTGGCTATCAGCACCTGGATCCATAGGTGACATAGTTTAGACCATTTGTTCAACCGCAGTGGTCGAGTGATCCTGGAAACTCATGGCTGTTCCGCCCAGTTACTTGCAGCACTAGGTCGGCTCAGCCACCTGTCTGAAGCGAGCTCAGCTGCTCATCAACAGAACCATTTGCAGAGACGCTGCAGCGTTGTCCCATTCCGTCTAATTCAGGATTCGTGCGGCTAAAAGACTTTAGATCAATTTGTATCAACCGTCCTGGTCAACAGATTAGTCTACCGGAGTGGAAACTGCATACAGAGAACCACTTGCTGTTCAACAAAGCAGTTTATGTTCAAATACCCTGTTATGCACAATCTAATCTGCTTTCAACTTCAAGACTTTTTGCACAACGTCTGGAGCGTTCATACAGCCTCACCCAGTTCCCCAATGTTATTTTCTATTGTTTTGGCTCCCAACTTGAAGTCCTGTGTTCTGCATCACCCATGCGAAGAATGTGGTTCCCTAGTCTAGTCAGGATCAAGTTACGGATCCCTACTTGAAAAGTGTACACGAATCCGCTAACTCGATATGAATGTAGAAGGACCTACCAGTGGAGCAGACAACAAAACTGCCTTGGAACCATCAGACTGTCAGACCAATAGGATCTATCTGTTTCCGCGGTAGCTTCATATCTGTATGTATTGTCAAACACCTCATTCATTACACGATATATGCGAACTTTAGTGCTTTCTTCTCTTTCCAAGCTTTGAGCTACAAATCAGATCAAAGTTGTGCTGATCTCAATGAACGTGTGACCAGGTTCCGAAAAGTTCAGCCACCCGATGACTGAGCCTCATTGGAACCAATATGAAAGCCGTAAAGGGTCTGATTGTAGTCCTCTTTGTTACAGTTTCTGAGTTTTCCACACACAAGGCCGATTGACTGCACACCTATTGTCATTTCAGTTGCGTCAACAGTGCACTTATCTGATCCACTCCAGACGCCCCATGCAGTTTTCGAGGAAAGGCTTGACTTTCGAATATTTTTCATGGTATTTGAATGTGACTGTATCCTGGTCTACATTTTATCTTCAAAAATGCTCTCCTCTAGAAGTCGGCATGGTGGGGAGCAGGTTCAAAAACGGTGGAATTTGCCATCCAGTCACCTTCGTTTCTGGTTATGGAATGCATGGGTTTGCTTTTACAAAACGGGCTTCAGACTCTACTTGGATTCGCCAAATAAAGTTGATTGTGAATCTTTCGTTCTGGTTACCCGTTGCATGAAAGCTGGGACAGTATATATTTCCAACCGGACGGTGTACGGCACGCTGCGCAGCGAGGATCAAGTAGAGACGAGAGGTTGCTTTCCAAATCAAAAGACCGTACTGATCTTCCAGAAATATCTTCCACGATCACCAGATAACCCTCCAAATCGACAGACCGTACTGATCCTCCAGAAATATCTTCCACGATCACCAGATATGTATACAACAGACTCTTTGGAGTGAGGTGAAGAGAAAAGTTCGTGATGCAGCACCGTCCAAGGCCTCCAAGTAGTTTTGTGCTACCCAAATGTCACAAACAAAGCATTTCGTGGATCTTATTAGTCCCTTTTGAACTATCTCCAACTGTCTTTCAGCATGCTTTGGAGTCTTTAATAAAATGGATATTTTGATGTAATTAACGTATCTGTCTTCTAATGAATCCGGAGAGGAAAGTTCTACAATTCCCTCGATCCTTGTCCATCCAAAGTTCGTACCGCATTAGTAAATCAGTTATTCCCAGTTTTTCAATGGCATGCTTTGTTCATCATCTTGTCCCCAAACGATCGATAATAATTATCCCTAACAGGCACAATTGCCCTATCTAGGTAGTTCTTCCATTAGAATGTGCCCGGTCACAACAATAACCTTTGACATAAACCAGTGTGACGCATTGTTCCAAACTGACAGGCAGCCGGATTCGCCTACAGCAACAAACTCTTTCTGAAGCACGTGAAATGCGCTCCTTTATACACCATTCTGGCTTTGAGATGGGAACCAGCTGAATCATCCGTAGGATATTCTTCAGTTGAGTCTCCCGTTCAACCAAAAGTGATGGGTAAATGAGTGTTTCACGTGAATTTCTTACGATTTGGGTTCAAGTAGGGCATACGATTGACAGAAACTTAGGGATTGTGCCTATCTGATGGACCTCTAGAAGGGCGAAATCGGTCTTGGGTTGTCGATGAGTTTTCAGCAAAATTGTGAGTTGTTTCCTTTGTAAAAAAAAAACTAATTTCCTTCAAGTCAGTAAATTGCGATATCTCAAATATCGTACCGACTGAAACACGAGGCCTTTGTGCAGTACACTCAAGTGAAGAATACCATAAACGAGAGATTCAGCTTGGATTGATTTGGCTTGTAGATGAGTGTACTTTATTCCGAAATACTTACACTCCATAAAACCATTCTGAAGTTTGTGCTAATGTGTCGGTCCTCCTTGGATTATTTGTCATTGCATCAAGGTTAACTGATTAGTGGTGGGCATTCACCCGTTGTGGTGAGGTGTGCCACAGTGATTCTCATAAATTCTTGCGCCGCGGCTAGCTGGATGGCAACCTGGAAATATAAGTTCTTGTATCATACAAACATTGATCTAAGTATTACTTCCTTCATGCTGCCCTATCTTCCCTCCATCATTCTCTCTTCCAAACTCTGTCTAATATCCCCCTGCCGTTTTCGAACAATTTTAAGCTAAAACACTCTGTGTATTCGTCTAGTTACAACTCTCAGCTGAAGCGTTCTTTTGATTTCGGATAGATGCTATTTTGGTTCCGAATGCGGACAGATATATTGTATGGGTTTCTTATATTTTCCTGTGCAAATTGAGAGGTCTTCGGTCAGAATGTTCCGGGGGGATGAAGAGTTGAATGGACAGAAAATCTGTGACTGATTGCGTGGTTGATACGTTCAAGCAGCTTAGTTTACGTCTCCTATCCAACAGGAGCACTCAGCATGATTCCCGAGTGCCTGGGTGGTAGACCCCCTGTTCTGCACCTAACAGTGCACGGATGATGTCTCTTCGAATGGTGACAAAACGTCTGCGAGTCATGTTCCAAGCGCGGTGATCAGGTCAAAAACCACTGGACCAATCCAATTACCTGTGCCGCTTCATATGTTCTGTCCAGCATGAGAAGGTTAAATGTTTGAGGGTTTGTCAATGTATGAAAACAGCTATAAAGCGCCCCGAACTCATTCGGAAAGAACGAGTAGGATTTATTAGAAATTGTTGGTCGACACCAACACAGTTGAATTTTTTCAAGTAAATCACCATCTGAAACTTACGATAGTAGGTAATTCACACTGACAATGCAGTTTGGACGGGATGAGCGGCTATTGTGGACGATTGTGGCGTAGGATTGCATCCACACCCAACCACCAGTCTTTGTCATCAATCGGTAGTAGGGGGTTGTGACTTGACCTTTGATCAGGACTGATTGGAGGATACAAATAAATACGGAGTGTCAGGTGGACATCAGGTGACCGGGAAATTGCAGAATCTATAGAATGCAGTTATAGTACTGTGTTTAGGAAAAAACACGCTGTTGGCAGCAAAATTTACTTACGTGTTTCATGTGCACGGCGGAGCGCGACTGAATCTACCACATGAACCAACTGGTACAGCGTCTTGTCTATGAGTTCTTGGGGTTGAAATCCTGTGATAGATGCAATTCTGTAAGAAAAATAAGGTATGGATATAGACTACCTGAGTGACTGTGACACGAGTGTTTTACCGGTTGAACGACTCGCCATGTAAACAGGTTTCCTGTACCAATCTTACGGCTTGTGTCTAAATGAAACATTTCTACTCCATCGAGTTTAATTAAATTCAACGCACTCAGAGCTGTTTGATGATGGGGAGTCGATTTTGGCAAACCTGAGTTGACGTTAGTGCTAATCGCGAAAATCAGCTGAATTACTCACATGGCCACAATTAACTTGAACAGTCTTCAAGCAAGCTGTCTCCCCTCAATGTTATCTTGAAAAAAACCGGTCTTACAACTTTCGAGAAATACACTCATTTGCAAATCAATTTGGTTTTCACG